CACCGCCAGTTACCAGGAAGGAGGGCTTGTTGCTTTCCACTTTTTCTTTTAAAAAGTAATATATCTCCTCTGAGCCAGTGGTGGTCATGGTTGGGAAAAGAATTAAGAAGCCAACTCCCTTCCTGAACCAGCCTGCGTGTGGGCTGGGAGACAACAAGAGCCCCCTGCCCCAAATTTGTGAGCAATCAGCTGATTCAGAGGAACACAGGCTGAGATGATAGCTACTAAAGTAAAAAAAACAACTTAATGCTTGTATTGTTTGATTGACTTTACAGGGTTAAAGCCAGTAGTCAGAGCATCTACTTGGAGGATAACAGTATACAATATAGCAACTATGGGGGATTTCCTTCTGTCTTGTTTTTGAAATCCAATATTGTTCTGTTTTATTTCCTTTAAAATAAAAATGAATAAAAAGTAGTATAACTTTAAAGAACACCCTGTCTGGCAAGTGTGAGGTCCTGAGTTCTATTTCTGCTACCAAAATAAAACAAACAAAAACTCATCTATCTTGTATTTTTGTTGTTGTTTTGCTTTTTTGAGACAGGGTCTTGCTATACAGTTCAGGCTGCCCCTGAACTCACCATATAGCCCAGGCTGGCCTCGAACTTGCAGCAATCTTCCTGCCTTAGCCTTCCGAGTGCTGGCATTACAGGTGTGTGCCACCCTATGCCCAGCAAACTCACCTAGTTTAATACTTAACAACTTATTTCTGATTTAAATTTCAGCCTCCTCATTTACTGAAGAAAACATCCAAAAAGTTGAGCAGCCTGTGGCCTCACAAGAAAACGCCTTGAATAAGTAACCCATGCTCCCAAGAGCAACTCATGCTTTTGACCCATTATGTTACCTCATTGACAGTAAAATAACTTGAATTAGCCTGCTGGTCCTTCCTGAAGCATTTTAGAATATTTCTTTTCTTTAGTATCTACTTTTAAAATTACATTTTACCTGATACATTATACCTGACAAAAAATTTAACATCTTAACCATTTTAAAGTTTGTCATGTTTCAGTTAACAATGAGGAAACTGTCTGAAATACGTTGTCACTGGGAGATTCTGTTGTGCAAACATCACCAGTACCCTTTAACAAACTAAGATGGCCATGAGGTCATTAGGCAGTATGACCTTGGAACTCCTATTTTACTATATATGGCAATCCTTGACTAAAATGTTGTTATGGGCTGCATGAATGCATACAATTCCATGGCATTAAATACATCTGCATTTTTGTACAACTAACACTACCATTCATCTTCACACAGTTCATCATGCAAAACTGAATCTGTATCCACCAAACAAAGACTCCCTTCTTTTCCTTCTCCTCTACTCTGATAGTCATCATACTCCTTTTTGCTTTTGTGAATTTACCACCAACGATTGGATCCTGCAGTGCTACAATACCGTACTGTGACTGGCTTATTTTGCTTAGCTCAATGTGAGTTGTACTAAAGCATATACTCACATTCTCTACTTCTGAAAAGTTGAGCACCAGTCCATTGTACGCATATCACATGTTGCTTACTAATTTGTCCACTGGCAGACACTTGAATTGTCTACTTTTGGCGATTGTAAATAATAATTCTGTTTGGGAGTTAAGATTCAAATATCTCTTTGAGATTGCCTTTAGTTCTTTCGAACATACATCATCTTAGTCTATTTGGACTACAGTAACTTAACACCTTAGACTAGTGACTGGGTGGATGGAACAACAGGAATTTATTTTTCAAAGCACCTGAAGCTGGAAAGTTCAAGATGAAGGTGCCAGCAGATTTGATTCACTGTGTTCTCAAATAGGACACAGTTAATCAATAAAAAATGTTTCTGGGTATCTCGTGCAAAGCACTACACTGTCTAACCTTAGTAAACTCCCAAGTGGTCCTATCTCCATATACTATCTACTTGGGAGACTGGTCTTCAAAATACAAACTTTATGGAGACACAAACATTTAGTCCATAATATACTCTGAAGGATCTTCTGGATCTTGTGGTTAACTCCACATTTAATTCTTGAGGAACCACTGTCCTGGGTTCCATAGCTGCCGTACTGCATACATTCCCACGCACAACGCACAGGGTTCCAATTTCTCCACATCCTTGCCTACAATCCTCATTTTAAATTCTTCATTTGTTTCTTTGTTTCCAGAGTAGACCTAGGTGTGAGGTGGGCAGCACAACTTTTAAGAGAATCAAACTTTACTTAGATAATAATAAGGAAACTAGAGAGGAAATCAGAATTGTTTTGCTTTCAAAAGTCAGAAGCTATCATACTACCCTGGTCTCCTTTAGTGAGCTCTTCAGAGGGGCTTCACTAAAAGGTCAGAAAAAAATTCTTAGTAAGCTGACTACCCAGTGTTATGTGAGGGTGAGGGGTGAGGTTAGGATTAGGAAGGGAAAAGAAAGCTATTTGTGGGTATCTCTTTCAGTTTCCCTAGTTCAAATTAAAAATTTCCTAAAATCTAGGACCTGAGACAAAAGTCCCTTGACAAAAGTAAAGTGTCACAATTCAAATACGAATTGAACAGTGTGCTATAGATGCACTTGGAATGACATACAGAATTTGCTTTTAAGTTTTCGTAAACTGGAAAAACCACCTATGAGTAATAAAATATTTTATTTGGGTTCCTATAAGTTTATCTTTGCAGGGTGGGGAGGATTGTTCCTGTAACATATCATCATTGTATTTAACTGTTTAGTGTTCTCTGTCTCTCCATCCTGCTTCCCATATCTCCAAATACATTTTTCCAGAACCATAAAAGCTTCAAGGATATTAAATCCATTATCATCTTTTGTTTCTTCATCCAACACTAATTAACAAGATAACAGTATAATGAGGATCAAGAGAAGAGGAAAGGCTGGTGTAAAGGTTAAAGAGTGGAAAAATGCTAACATTCACAACATAAGCATACATTTTTTAAAAGCGGGGAACTTTTCTTGTCTCCAACTGCTCTGTGATATAGTAAGTGCTTTATATGCACCTATGAAAGTTGCTTGGATTGAATTGCTCTGCATGTAGTATAACTGTGACTGCTAGTCTGGGAGGAGGGCAGGATTTAAATCCCAAATATACATATATATATATATATATATATATATATATATATATATATATATATAAAATAACACATTAAAATATTAGACATGTGACCCAAAACTTCAAAAAAAATTTCTTAATATGCTAAAGATAAGAACAAAAGGTTGGAGATACAGCTCAGTGGCACAGTGCCTGCTTGGCAAGCTCAAGGTTGTGAGTTCAATCCCCAGCACTAAAATAAAATAAAATAAAATAAGAACAAATAAGCCAGTGCAAGACTGCACTGTTACAATGCATATGAAGTACTGTGAAATATGCAAAGGAAAAAACAGTAAACTGTGTTTGGTTTTAACAATGAGAACAACATCAGATAGAAATCTGGGGAAGGAGTTAGCACTGATTACATATTAACAAACTCAAAAAACAGAAATTGGTAAAGAATCCCGAGATCTCTCTCTCCAAATCAGAAGGGTCATGTGAGGATATCAGAAGACACACATCTACAAGCCCAGGTGAAAGGGCTCACAAGATAACAACCCTGATATCACCCTCATCCTAGAAGTGGCACTTACAGAACTGTGAGAAAGTACATTTCTGTTATTTAATTCACCAAGACTGTGGTATTTTGTCATGGCCACCAAAGCAGCCTAATAAAATATCAAAGGAGAAAAAATAGTTTCCTTTCTCTTAACCTCTGCTCACAAAGTGACCAACAGGACGTTTAATAAGAACAACTGACAAATACAAAGATCTCAGTCCATTTCATAATAATGACCATCTTAAACTTAGTTTTTACAAATTAAAATATTATAATACTATGACTAACTCTAAAGGAACAAGGTGGGAAGGAAGAAGGGAGACAGTTATCTATCTGGATTTTATTTCCCAATTTTCAACCTCTTAACACTTTTGGAGCGGGGCGGGGTTACAGGGAATCAAACTCAGGACCTTGCTCTTGCTAAGCAGGTGTAGTTACCACTGAGCTATACCCCAGCTCCTAATTTTCAACTTCTTGAGTCCTTAAAGTTAGTTAAAATACAAATGGAAACCATTAATCAATGAAAAAAATTAGAATGACCTGAGTCCATGGGAATGGATCTCTGACTGTAACAAGCAGGTCTCTGAGCTAGCTTTAAAACTGCAGAGGTATATAAGACTTATTCACAACCTTCAATGTTGCAAGTTTCAAAAGAACAGTAACTCTAAGTCAACACTGGCTTAGGCCGTTGGGAAGAGTAATTTTCAAAATGTGTTCAGTTATCCACTGGAAGATATATGGACAGGTATATAGATTCATAATATATGTGTGCAAAAGATACACACAGATTGACGCATATAAACTGTACCACAAACCCATTGATATGTGAAGTTCATTGGGTCAAGACACACCTGCCAGATTAGAAAAGCACAGGTAGCTAGCTCAGTAGTAGTACACTTGCCTACCATGAACAAGGTTCTACGTTCGAGTCCCCAAACCACCAAAAAGAAAAAAGTATCTCATAATCTCATATTAAGAAATTCAGTACACTGGCAAGCACAAGGTCCTGAGTTTGATTCTCTGGTATCAAAAACAAAGTTTTTGATACAGTAAAGGACACTACAAGCAAAGTTCATTCAAAAATGAATACATTCAGTTGATAAAATAAAAATGAAAACACCCATAAAATGTGTAGAATTTCTATAACTCAGTAACATATGAAAATTTTTAATAGTGAATAGATGAGTACTTCAGACAAAATGTAAATGAATAATATATTCAAAGATGTTTAAGCTTACCAATAATCAAAGAAGTAGCAATTAAAATAATCTTTGTTTATTAAATGGGCAATAACTGTTAAACTCCCAATCCAAAATAAACAAAACCACATTATGGCAATCAAATATAGAATGGAAACAATTATACAAAGTTATCAGAAGCTTAAAATCATTTTGAATCTCTGTTTTTAATTACTGAAATAATTAACCAACCTGAGCCACTTTCATTGAGTTCTGGGTAGAGCCACCAGCATGATATTCGACTTTGAATTTTTTCACAAGTTCATCAAAACTGTAAGGAAATCACAGCAGAACAGTTAGCATGTTAGTTGCCACAATGTAAATTTATTAGAAGTACATTAAAAGTAGAATTTTCAAATAACATTATATTAAATGAACTAATTTATTAAATTTCCATGCAAAGATTCTATAAATGTGTACCATAAGAATTCAAAATATGTCATTAATCTTTCCACTAAATAGAAAGCAAAAATTAAATTCACAAGCTGCCAGATGAGCCAAGTATAATGGCACACTTCTATAATCCCAGCACTTGGGAGACTGAGGCAGGAGGATCACTGCAAGTCCAAGGCTCCAAAGTGAGTTCGTGGCCAGCCTGCACTGCTTAGTGAAACCTTGTTTCGAAAAACAAAGGCTGACAAATGAAAGTCATATATGGCAAACAGTAAGTCAAAATTACTGGTCTCAGAAGTACTTGTTAACAGCAAACATACAGAAGAATCAGTGTGTCTTTTTCCTGATTCCACACAACCAAGAGAGTTTTCCTCAGAAATCAAAATTTTGCTAATTAATGAAACTCCAGGAGTCAACTTAAGAGACACAGAAATTATGACCTTACAACTGAAGATGGATGATGACACACATGTTCACTTCTTCCACATTTCAATGAACAATCACTCGTCTTATTTTTGTCTCTGTTTTTGTCCATTCTGAACACTACTTATAAATGGAAATTACTAACATGTGATCTTTGGTGGTGAGATACTTCTCTTTAGTGTATTGTTTTGAGGGTTGATACATTAAGTAGTATGTTATCACTTTTCATGGTGAAATAATATTGTATTGTATGGATATTTCATGTTCATCAGTCCATTCATCTGTCAAAGACTACTTAGGGTAGCTTTCACCTTTTTTTCTGTTTTGAATAACGCTGCTAAGGGCATCCATAAAAAATTTGTTTGTTGATACATAATATTTTCATTTATCTTGATTATATATGTGGGGGAAAGCTGCCAAGTCAAATGGTAATTCCTTGACTTTGTTTTTTTTTTTTTTTTTTGAGATAGGCTCTCACTTTGAAGTTCAGACAGGCCTTGAACTCACTAAGTAGTCCAACCTGGCCTTAAATTTGCAGTGATCCTCCTGTCTCAGCCTCCTAAGTGCTAGGATTTCAGGCCTGTGTCACAAGGTTCACCATTACTTGAGTTCTTGAGAAATGTCTAGAAACAGCCTACTTTCTTTTCACTCACGGAAAATACAGAGAAAATAGTCTCTCTAATTCTATGAAAAGTAGTAACTAAATATCTTTAATTAACTTTATGAGTGCTGAAAATTCTTTTAAAATCAATGTTGGTTGGATGGATAGTCAATGTAGTGTGTGCATGGATAAAACCTGAGATGAAAACTAGAAAGCTAACTAAAGAAAATACCAAGAAAAAAATATAAAAAATACAAAATGAGGAAAAATTAAAAGGCATAAAGAACTGATCAGGTACCCCAAGATCCATTTAATAAGGATCATTAAAAGAAACAATAGAGAAAATGAAAAAATAAAAAAGAAGGGCTAAAAAAAGAACAAGTTTCCAAACTAGGAAAAACACAATCCTTAGATTTCTCCACCCAAAACAGGTTTACCGGGGAGTAGGGGCTAAGATAATGTAACTGGATACATACTACAGCACACATTAAGAGAAAACCAAAGTGTCTCCAGTGAAGTTAACGTATATCTATGCAGGAATAAGAAGTGGACTACCGTCTCCTAAAGAACATAAGATGCTAAAACATAACTGAATAGTGCATTTTATGCTAGAAGACTTCTTTTGAAACTACAATTCAATATTTACACAAATTGTTAATTATCTGCTTCCAGTTAACAGAGACAAACACAATAAAGTAAATTTGATTCTATTAAGATCTAAAACTTTTTTATATAAAAGCAAAGCCAAACAAAAAGTTTAATATAAAGGAAAGTAGAGCACATTTTCAATATAAAAAAGCTTGTTTTTACCAAAAGTAAAATAATCATACAAAAGAACAATTAAAAAAATTTTTTTGATACTGGGGATTGACCTTGCACTTGCCAGGCAGGCCTTATGCTGCTGAGCTAAATTCCCAGCCCCAAGGAATTAAAATATTAAGGCACAGGTAAGTGGGCAAATTAACAATGAACCAAATAAAGAAATGATATTTTGGAAAGCAATGAGCCCCTTATACTAGTAACCACATTCATACACACAGATTTCTGTATAATTGAATTAAGTATATAAGGGGCATATATACAGATTTCTGTATAATAAATCAGTTGAAGATATAAATGTTAATATAATAAACTAGTTGAGTATATAAACTTTAAATTTTATGACATTAATAAGGATGAGAAAAAGTTAATGTAACACTTGTGGAGAGTTATTTGGCAATATGCAACAAGAGTCACAAAAATGTTTATACCTTATTACAAAACTACATTTGGAAACTTTATCCTAGGGAACGTAATCAATATCATAAAAAGTGCCACACAAATCCTGTTTATCCTAACACAGTATTTAATAAAGTGAGACTATAGAAAAATATAAATATTCAGAAAAAAAAGAAATTATTAAGTAAATTATGGTCACTAGCACTGGACTAAATGAAACCATGCTTGCAATATTTTAACTATTTACTTGTTTTATTATTGCAGAAAAATATAATATGAAGATATGAATAATATTGGGTAAATAAAAGTATGTATAAGATACTTTTATTTTTTATTTTAAAAAATAAAGGAAGCAAATTAAGATAAAAACCAAAAGAACAAACAATGTAAACCATAAGGATTTGCAGTTTATGAAACTTAAAATATAAGAAGGGCTACCTTATATATACTATTTACTTTAGCAAAGTTACCAGCATATAAAAATTCATTCAACATGTATTTGTTGATTTGGGGATGTCAATGTGAGCTGCAACTAAATACTCGAATTTACATCCTGATTTAGATTTCGTACCATGTCACCGTGACTCTAAAAAGGTATCCAATAAAATGATCCCATATGGAGATTTAAAGTCTGCTAAGAGAAAGATAATACTGACTTCTGGTAAAAATAAAAATAATGAAGGATCATCAGTATGCTGCTGGGAGCAGCAAAGAGCTAATTGTAGGACAGCCAGGCAGGGACTAATGACCAAAGTAAATACAGGCAACCTAACATAATCCATCCCTTAGAGTGAAAGCCCTTTTGGCATTGAAACACAGGCACAAGTATTAATGGAAATAAGTTCAGGATGTTGTATTACAGACAGATTCACCTTTTCAAAAGCAATAATTATTTTACTGACTACACCATGGCAGACAGGTTTTGGGAAGGTCAGAGAAAAACAATTGAATGGAACAACATTATAATGCTATAGTAAAAAACAAACAAGCAAACAAAAGCCAGCTATTTTTGCTGGTTGTCACTATAATATACTGGTCATTTCTTCAAGATTTCCAATAGTTTTTAACTTTATAAATTTAGAATGAAAACGATCAGCAAATAATTTTTTCAATGAATTTTAAGATAGTGGGTTAACAGAAACACAACCACAAAATAAAACTATACATTTGTTGTGATCTTGTTGGGGCCCACAAATTCACAATGCCTAATTTCGAGTGCTTCCCCAAGGAGTAAATGGAGGTTTGGGATTATCAGTATCACTCATTTGAGATTTCTCATAAACTCTTTAGGGATAGGCCATCCTCTCCCACTAACTAAGACTAAAACTAAAACCACTAAAAAAAAAAAAAAAAAAAAAAAAAAAAAAAAAAAAACCCTCCAGGGAACGATCCTTCTTAGCATAAGATCATCTCCACTCCAGAGTCATCCCGGGATTACACAGCCCATTGAGTCCCAGACCTCTGAGTTTCCGCCAGACCTGCCTGTCACTGTACACACCCAATAAATAGTGGCTGTCTATGTGAGTCACTCTCTTGGTCCCTCTGGAGGCACTGACTTCCCAGTCACTCATTATGTATTGTTAAATTGGTCTCTGTTTCTTATTTTATTCTCTCGCCTCACCCTTGATATAGGCAATCGGGGATCTCTGGCCAGGTCCCTAATATGATGTCATCAACTTAAGAAAAGTTAGTACTCAAGAAAAAAAACTGAACTCAGCCAAGAATTGAACTCATGGCCTGGCACTTGCCAGGCAGCTGCTGAGCTACATCCCTGGCCCCAGCCGTGTTTTACTGCACATGCTCTATGTACATACCTGTCTACTGATACAGAAAGACAATATGGGTACAGTGACTCACATGAAGTGTACTTACAGCTCAAAATAAGCTTATGAGACAAAAATTAACACCACCATCCAAACTGTCTATCTAAAATTACAAAATTAAAAGATTCAGTGATTTATTTGTAAACTTCTGATACTGAAATAGTAGAAAAGCTGAAAGAATCTTGCAATCAAGAGCTTCATACCTTTTACCAAAATATACCAATATTTAACACTTTATATGTGCTAGTTTTTCAGAATCACTTTGGAGTATGTTGTATACATCATGCATGTTAATGCATGGGTTCCTGTAGGTATCCAATTCCAATTAAGTGCCACTGCCTTCAATCCTGCCTGCCCTCTCATTCCATTAGCCTTCTGCCTTCCTCCAGGGAGACACCTGGCTGTGAGCTCAAGGTTTGCTTTTGGACAAGCTCCTAACTAAAAATGGACTGGTTTTGCTACACTGTTAAAATAACTTGCCTAATTCTATCCTTCTCCAAAACACAGGTCTGAAACTTGTGTTGAAATGCTTCTTTCCATGAATGACTGGGTGTGTTTTTGATCTGTATTTCCCACACTCTTCTGTTTTTCAAGTTTTATTTTTAAGCCTCTACACTACACCTGAGCTCTCCAAATGTGCAGACATACAAAATCAGTGAGAATACTAGAATGCAATGTTTATTCTTTTACTTGTAAGCCATCTTAAGTCCTTTTTTTTTTTTTTTTTTAAAAGACAGTCTCACATAGTTCAGGCTTGCTTTGAACTCATCATGCAACACAGGCTGGCTCTGAACCTGTGATGATCCTCCTGCC